TTTTTTTTTTTTTTTAAGAGACAGAGTCTTGCTCTGTCTCCCAGGCTGGAGTGCAGTGGCACAATCACTGCTCACTATAGCCTCAACCTCCTGGACTCAAGCAATCCTCCTGCCTTAGCCTCCCGAGTAGCTGTTACCACAGGCGACACCACCATACCTGGCTAATTTTTTATTTTTTGCAGAGATGGAGTCTTGTTATGTTGCCCAGACTGATCTTGAACTCCTGGCCGCGAGTGATACTTCTGCCTCGGCCTCCCAAAGTGGTGGGATTACAGGCGTGAATCACTGCACTTGGCCCACAAGACATTTTGTGTTCCTTCTAAGTCTTCAAAATCTGATGGGTATTTTACACTTACACCACACCTCACTTCAGATGAGCCCTGTCTCAAGTGCTTAGTAGCCACGTGTGGCTAACAGCTACTGTTCCGGATGGCACAGTCGTAAGATCACTTCCATGAAATGGATAAGCATTTATGCAGCCTGGATGAAGTGGAGTAGAACAAACTGGCAAAATAAGGAAATGTTTTCTTTCAGGAGGCAGATATATCTGAGAACTTTGAAAGTTACTGTTTCTGTTAACTTATCAGTTAATGGATATTTATCTGATTTAAGCTTCTTTAGAATTGGAGCTATTAAAGTTGAACTTAAGCCATTATCACAGTTAGAAATATGTATTAACCTATAAACATTCATAATAGTTTGCTGCCTGAGATGAGGTAGTTATTAAATATCTTCAGTGTCAGAGAAAATCAGACCGGGCGCGGTGGCTCACGCCTGTAATCCCAACACTTTGGGAGACCGGGGTGGGTGGATCACCTGAGGTCAGGAGTTTGAGATCAGCCTAACCAACATGGTGAAGCCTCGTCTCTACTAAAAATGCAAAAATTAGCTGGGCATGGTGGCGCATGCCTGTAATCCTAGCTATTCAGGAGGCTGAAGCGGGAGAATCGCCTGAACCCGGGAGGTGGAGGTTGCAGTGAGCTGAGATCGCACCATTGTACTCCAGCCTGGGCAAGAAGAGTGAAACTCCATCTCAAAAAAAAAAAAAAAAAAAAAAAGTCAATGACTTATTATTTAAATGATCTTTTTTTCTTTGGACTGCTGTTAATAGGTGGCTACAGTTTCAGAAAAGTCACGTATAATGGAGTTGGAGAAAGACCTAGCATTGAGAGTACAGGAAGTAGCTGAGCTCCGAAGAAGGCTAGAGTCCAATAAGCCTGCTGGGGATGTGGACATGTCACTTTCCCTTTTGCAAGAGATAAGCTCTTTGCAAGAAAAGTTAGAAGTCACCCGTACTGACCACCAGAGAGAAATAACTTCTCTGAAGGAGCATTTTGGAGCCCGGGAAGAAACTCATCAGAAGGAGATAAAAGCTCTGTATACTGCCACGGAAAAGCTTTCCAAAGAGAACGAGTCATTGAAAAGCAAGCTGGAGCATGCCAACAAAGAGAACTCAGATGTGATAGCTCTATGGAAGTCCAAACTGGAGACTGCTATTGCGTCCCACCAGCAGGCGATGGAAGAACTGAAGGTATCTTTCAGCAAAGGGCTTGGGACAGAGACGGCAGAATTTGCTGAGCTAAAAACACAAATAGAGAAAATGAGACTAGATTACCAACACGAAATAGAAAATTTGCAGAATCAACAAGACTCTGAACGGTCTGCTCATGCTAAAGAGATGGAAGCCTTGAGGGCTAAACTGATGAAAGTTATTAAAGAAAAGGAAAACAGTCTGGAAGCCATCAAGTCGAAACTGGACAAAGCAGAAGACCAGCATCTCGTAGAAATGGAGGATACGTTGAACAAATTACAGGAAGCTGAAATAAAGGTAAAGGAGCTAGAGGTTCTACAAGCCAAATGCAATGAACAAACCAAGGTTATTGATAATTTTACATCACAGCTCAAGGCTACTGAAGAAAAGCTCTTGGATCTTGATGCACTTCGGAAAGCCAGTTCCGAAGGTAAATCGGAAATGGAGAAACTTAGACAGCAGCTTGAGGCAGCTGAGAAACAGGTTAAACATTTAGAGATTGAAAAGAATGCTGAAAGTAGCAAGGTTTGTATTGACATCCTCCATCCTTTTCTTTTCCATTTGTTATTCTTATTTTGCATTATGTTACTTTTGAGTTGAGGTCATTCATCTTTCAAATTGCTAATTTAATTAAATTGTTCGATGTCGCCAGTTGAGTATAGTGTAGTATGTTCTGAGTATCTCAAGTATGGTTTCATCTGAGGAGATTAGAGAAAACAATGGCTCAACCATGTGAATTTATTTTGGCTGCCTATTGTCTGAGTACCTGATCTATTTATCTCTGGGCTATGCTGTGACTTCTAATTTGAGCTTAGCTCCAGTCTATACTCTTTAAAATAAAGAATGCCCTAACACTATGGTGTTAAGATAAATGAATAAATGAACAGAAACTTAAAAGATCGGCCAGGCGCAGTGGCTCACGCCTGTAATCCCAGTACTTTGGGAGGCTGAGGCAGGTGATCACCTGAGGTCAGGAGTTCGAGATCAACCTGGCCAACATGGCAAAACCCCATCTCTACTAAAACCACAAAATTAGCCTGGCATGGTGGCGGACGCCTGTAATCCCAGCTACCCAGGAGGCTGAGGCAGGAGAATCGCTTGATCAACCCGGGAGGTGGAGATTGCAGTGAACCGAGATTATGCCACTGCACTCCAGCCTGGGAGACAGCAAGATTCAGTCTAAAAAAAAAGAAAAAAAAAAAAAAAGAAGCTTAAAAGAACATCTCCTCCTTTTCTAACCACACGTAGTCAGGTGCCACATAATGATGTTTCAATCAACAATGGATCACATCAACAAAGGTGGTTCCATAAGATTATAATATGGTATCTTTACCTTTTGTATGTTTAAATTGCTTCGATAGACAAATACTTAGCATTGTGTTACAATTACCTGCAGCGTTCAGTACAGTAACATGTTGTACAGGTTTATAGTCTAGGAACGATAGGCTGTGCCATGTAGCCCAGGTGTGTAGTACACTATACCTTCTAGGTGTGTGTAAGTGCACCCTGTGATGTCCCCACAACAGTGAAATGCCTCATGATGCATTTCTTAGAAGGTATCCTGATTCTTAAGCAATGTGTGACTGTAATTGCCTATAGGGTTATGTATAAAAACAGAATGTGAACTCAGTGCTTCTTGACTATTATAAATTAACATGTTGGCCGGGCAAGGTGGCTCATGCCTGTAATCCCAGTGCTTTGGGAGACCAAGGCAGACGGATCACTTGAGGTCAGGAGTTTGAGTCCAGCCTGGCCCCCTCTACTAAAAATACAAAAGTTAGTCAGGTATGATGGTGTGCACCTGTAATCCCAGCTATTCGGGAGGCTGAGGCACAAGAATTGCTTGAACCCAGGAGGTGGAGGTTGCAGTGAGCTGAGATTGTGCCACTGTACCCCATCCTGGGCGACAGAGCGAGACTCCATCTACAAAAAACAAACTGAAAAAACACATGTCGTGATAAATAACATTCATAGCAAAATTAAGGGTAAAAGCTTGGAGCCCTTTGCATGGCAAAAATCTCATTGGAGTTTTTTTCTGTGGCACAATGAGAACACGATCTGTCCCTTTCTTTTCTGGGGGAAATACTGAACAAGTGTGCGTGTGGTCAAGGCTTAGAAAATTAAATGAAACATTCGCCAGCTGTGTTCCTTACTAACTAGCCTTGTTAAAAGTCATCTTTATTTTTAAGGATGGTTCGAGGAATTGTTTCCCAGTCCTGCCACTAGTCGAGGCACTGATATTGATGCTCAATGTTCTGAACTTTTTTGTGGGAGAGGCTGCTCTATTGGCAAAGAAGGAAGGGTTGTAATGGTTAAGGTGGGGTGAGGTGAGGACTGACAAACAGCAAAAAATTTCTAACCGTAGTCAAAGATGACAAACTGGTTACAGGAAATTTTTCTCAAATCTCCTCATGTGGTTCCGAAATACTAATCAAAACACAAAAATTAGAAGATAATATTTAGCTAATGTTAGTTTACTTTTTAACATCAAGATTTCATGAAAACCAAGTTATAATGACTATTGTCCAGTGGATTTTTTTGTTTTGTTTTTTTGAGACAGAGTCTCACTCAGTCGCCCTGGCTGGAGTGAAATGGTGCAATCTTGGGTGTCACTGCAACCTCCACCTCCCAGGTTCAAGCGATTCTCCTGCCTCAGTCTCCGAGTAGCCAGGATTACAGGCACCCGCCACCATGCCTGGCTAATTTTTGTATTTTTAATAGAGACAGGGTTTCATCATATTGGCCAGGGTGGTCTTGAACTCTTGACCTCAAGTGATCCACCCACCTCGGCCTCCTAAAGTGCTGGGATTACAGGCTTGAGCCACCACATCTTGCCTGTCCAGTGGATTTTTAAATTTTATTTGTATTTAAATGTCAAAATACCTTAAGCATATACACAAATAGAGAAAATAATGTAGACCACATATATTCCCATCTTAAGGTTTTTGTTTTTATTTATTTATTTTTTAAGACAGAGTCTCGCTCTGTCGCCCTCACTGCAACCTCCACCTCCGAGGCTCAAGGGATTCTCCTGTTTCAGCTTCCCCAGTAGCTGGGATCACAGGTGTGTGCCACCACGCCTGGCTAATTTTTGTATTTTTAGTAGAGACAGGATTTCACCATGTTAGCCAGACTGATCTTGAACTTCTGACCTCAGTTGAGATCTACTGGCCTTGGCCTCCTAAAGTGCTGGGATAACAGGTGTGAGCCACTGTGCCTGGCCTTAAGGCTTTTTGTTTTTGTTTTTGTTTTTGAGACAGAATCTTGCTCTTTGGCCCAGGCTGGAGTGCGGTGGTGTGATCTTGGCTCACTGCAGCTTCCGCCTCCCAGATTCAAGCGATTCTCCTGCCTCAGCCCCCTGAGTAGCTGAGACTACAGGTGCGTGCCACTACGCCTGGCTAATTTTTTGTGTTTTTAGTAGAGATGGGGTTTCACCATGTTGGCCAGAATGGCCTCTATCTCCTGACCTTGTGATTCACCCACCTCTGCCTCCCAAAGTGCTGGGATTACAGGTGTGAGCCACCGCGGCCAGCCAAGGTTTTTAAAGTCTAGGAAATGAAATTGCTCAAGTAGCTCATTTAGAAAGTAAGCATCCACACCGTCTACTTTAGATCATGCTGATACTCCAAGTTACAATGAAGTATAGAAAAAGAGTCTATTTTGACTCTTTAAAAATAGTTGCTGGGCACAGTGGCTCATGCCTCTAATCCCAGCACTTTGAGAGTCCAAAACAAGAGGATTGCTTGGGTCCAGGAGTTTGAGACCAGCCTGGGCAGCATGGTGAGACCCCATCTCTCTCTTTCTTTCTTTCTTTCTGTTTTTGAGGCAGGGTCCCACTCTGTCACCCAGACTAGAGTGCAGTGGCGCAGTTTCAGCTCACTACAACCTCGGCCTCCTTCACAGGCTCAAGCAATTCTCCTGCCTCAGCCTCCCGCGTAGCTGGGATTATAGGCACATGCCACCATGCCCGGTATATTTTTGTATTTTTAGTAGAGACGGGGTTTCACCATATTGGCCAGGCTGGTCTTGAACTTCTGACCTCAAATGATCCACCTGCCTCAGCCTCCCAAAATATTGGGATTACAGGCATTAGCCACCGAGGCCGGCCAGAGACCCCATCTGTAAAAAATTGTTTTAAACATTAGCTGTAGTGGCATGGGCCTATAATCTCAGCTGCCTAGGAGGCTGGTGCTGGAGGATCACTTGAACCCAGGAGTTCAAGGCTGCAGTGAGCCATGATCACACCACTGCACTCCAACCTGGGTGACAGGGGAGAGAGACCCTGTCTCAAAAAGAAAAAGAAACACACAAAAAAACCATCCTGGCTAACACGGTGAAACCCCATCTCTATTAAAAGTACAAAAAATTAGCTGGGCATGGTGGCGGGCACCTGTAGTCCCAGCTACTCGGGAGGCTGAGGCAGGAGAATGGCGTGAACCCAGGAGGCGGACCTTGCAGTGAGCTGAGATCGCGCCACTGCACTCCAGCCTGGGCAACAGTGCGAGACTCCATCTCAAAACAAACAAACAAAAAGGCAAACAACAACAACAAAAAAACGAAAATAGCCATTAGGAAATCGTATCATAGAACTATTGTCGAAATTGTTCGAAAAGTCGTTGACGTCTTAGAATTAAAAACCAATACCAAATTTGTATTCCTTTCAGTTTTGTTTTATGTTTCTCATAAGTTTTTTTACTTGTTTATTTTTTTTTTCTTCTCATTCTCTTTTGTTTTCCTTTTGTTCATTTGCTTCCATACCATGTAACTCTGTGTGTTAGGCTAGTAGCATTACCAGAGAGCTCCAGGGGAGAGAGCTAAAGCTTACTAACCTTCAGGAAAATTTGAGTGAAGTCAGTCAAGTGAAAGACACTTTGGAAAAAGAACTTCAGATTTTGGTAAGTACCTGTTGGGAATCTGAATCTCAGGGTTTCTGGCCATTTCCTGTTTTAAAAAATCCTCCAGTAAGAAATATTGCAGCTGTTTCCTTTCTCTTTCTAAGTGTTGATTGAACTTGAGTGTATTAGTTATTGGCTGATAAATATTGTCCTTTGAGGGGAATCAGATCAAACCTAAACAACCGAGGTAGGTATTACTTTTTTTTTTTTTTTTTTAATCTATCCCTTCGCCTCTGGTAACACACTGCTTTGAAACGTTACTGACTACTTAGTTTTACTAAAGACAGAGCCCTTCCAAGTTATGCATTGAACAATTAGGTTTCATATTGAATAAGGCCCCTCAATTGTGCCTATCAGGGCAGCAGCTGTCCTGGGCCATTGGCGCCCTCTGTTGGCGAGGCAGGATGTTTGCTGTCTAATTAAACAAATTCAAAGAAATCTAACTCAGTTTATTCCACCTCAGAAAATTACCTTCCCTTTTATATGTTGTCTTTTACCTTAATCTCAAGTTGTATGACATATATATATTTTTTACCTTTTCTCAACTTTGTTCCTTCCTACTTGCTTCCTGCACTTAAAACCTGAGTTTAAACAAGGCTGATACTCACGAGTAGTGCCAGTGGTACCCATCCACATGCCATGGAAAGAAAAGCCAGAGGCTTATGGAGAAACTAGACAAGAGGCATATGTGCCACGCAGGCTCAGCTGTCCCAGGTCCTCCACATCCCTCCCTCTTCCCTGTTCATTACACTTCTGTGCTATTAACAGTGTGAATAAATGTGTGATTTTTTTTTTTTTCTTTCTTTCTTTTTTTTTTGAGACAAAGTCTTGTCCTATTGCCCAGGCTGGAGTGCAGTGGCACGATCTCGGCTCAGTGCAGCCTCTGCCTCCCAGGTTCAAGAGATTCTCCTGCCTCAGCCTCTTGAGTAGCTGGGATTACAGGCGCCTGTTACCAGGACAGGCTAGTTTTTGTATTTTTAGTAGAGATGGGGTTTCTCCATGTTGGCCAGGCTGGTCTTGAACTCCTGAACTCAAGTGATCTGCCCGCCTCGGCCTCCCAAAGTGCTGGGATTACAGGCATGAGCCACCACACCCGGCCTGATGTCCTTTAAGAAAATGTTTTGAGTTCATTGCTTCTCTGCCCTCCTCCCAAAGCTTTTAGGAAGCCTTGCCTTTTTTTTTTTTCCCCCCTAAGTTAGAGTATCCTTCTGTATATCTTAGGACAAGACATGACACCCTGAGTCTGGCTGTGGGAAGGCACAGAGGGCAGCCTGAGGGCTTGGATGCACTGTGGCCCCTGTGCCATCTTATCATAATCCTAGCTAGTTAGAAATACTCATGTAACAATCTGCTTGATGTAGCTAGCTCGAAGTTCATCTCAGGACAACCAGGAGAGTGATTCTTAACTTGGCCTATAGTCATGTTTAGAAAAGAAGACCTTGAACAGTAAGTGACTGAAGGGCCTTTTCAGTTTCAAAAGTAGCAACACAGACCTAGATTTAAGATATTAGACTCAGATTACTCTCAGAAATAACAAACTTCAGAGCTGTGTTCACCATCTCAGGCAGATTTCTGAAGAGAAGGTCTGCTGTTTGAGGGGTGGCAACATGAAGCATACACATGCACCCTGTGTATACACGCACATGCATGTACTTAACCTAAGTATGAACATGCCTACATGGGCATGCAGGTACACCTGCCTTCCCACGTGTGCACACACACACATGCAGACTGCAGTCTTTTGTGTGTATACATGCACGTGTGTATGACCCACATGTGGTAGTAATTGGTATCATATGTTTCAAGTATATTAGTTTTAATAAAACAAGGCCAGCAACAAAAAGTAGATAGTATTGTAATTATAATCGATAGAAACTTCTTGTCTTCACAATTTGAAATCTTTCTGTTCAGAATCTCCGATTCTTTTTCTTTAGAAAGAAAAGTTTGCTGAAGCTTCAGAGGAGGCAGTCTGTGTTCAGAGAAGCATGCAAGGTATGTCTTACTAGAGCGTGTGCAGATTGCTTTCAAGAACATCATTCTTTCAAACTGGAGCTGGCCTGTGGAGTGCACAGAGTAGACACTGCCCGTAGCCTCATTTCACTCCCCTGGAAGTTCCTGCCGTGCTCAGAAAGACTGGCTTCCATTGGTTTCCTGAAGCCTCAGACTCCCAGTTTTTTCCTCTTTTAGCTTAAGGCTTGTTCCGTATTAAAATGTAAGTATTCCTGGGAAGAGAGTTATTTATGCTCTCATCATTGATAGCTTTATTGAGTTTTAATTGGAAGAAGGAAAGAGATGAGTGGAAAGGGCCTGATGCCTGCCGAAAGTACAGATTCGGGGAGGCCGGAGACAGCAGCAGACGTGCTTCTTTCAGGCTGTGCATAGCTGTGTGATTTGTAAGGGGACTTTTTAGTATTCCTGTGTTCTCAGATCTTTTGAGCATAATATTTGATTGGGTTGTAAGACAGCCAAGCTCCAGATAGCTTATTAAACATGAAACATATTAAACTTCTAACTTTATCCTAAATAGAAACTGTAAATAAGTTACACCAAAAGGAGGAACAGTTTAACATGCTGTCTTCTGACTTGGAGAAGCTGAGAGAAAACTTAGCAGGTAAGAAGACATCTCTGGTGACTAAACATTAAATACAGTAGGCTTTCCCGTATTTGAGACAGTTGTAGTATGTTACATAACAAATGTACTATTCAAGCGTAACCTCTTCACTCATTATGGTGATATAACAATGTGATGAAATACTTGTTCGAAATCTGTAACCTCCAGCAAATCCTCTTTGCTCTGTTTTGACAAGAGCCAGAATCTACCACATCTCACCACTCCCACTGCTATCCTTGCTCCAGGCCAACAGCCATCTTTCATCTGAGCTACCCTGACAGCTGACCACCAGGGCTCACTGCTGCTGCCTGTGCCAGCTTCAGTCTGTTCTCAACACAGCAGCCAGAGCAATCCTTTTAATATGAACTTAGATCATGTCGCTTCTCTCCTCAAGGTCGTCCAGCGGCTCTCTTCCCACTCAGGGAAAGCCGTGGCCCTTACCACGATCAGGCCCTATTACCTGTTGGATTTCATCTGGGACCCCCTTCCCCTGTTCATTCCACTCCAACCACTTCAGCCTCCTTGCGGTGCTTGGACGTGGTGGGTGTTCCTTTCTCAGAGCCTGTGCACTTGCTTTTCCCTGTTCCCTCACTTCCTTCAGGTTTTCTCTGAAATGTCAGCCCCTGAAATGTCAGGGAAGCCCCATCTGAGAGTCTAACCTCCTTCCCAGCTCCTTTCCCTGCATTTATTTTTCTTCCTCTTAGAACTTACCACTATTAATTATATGATTTCTTTTCTTTTTTTCTTTTTCTTTTTTTTTTTTTTTTCAGACGGAGTCTCGCTCTGTCACCCAGGCTGGAGTGCAGTGGCGCGATCTCGGCTCACTGCAAGCTCCGCCTCCCGGGTTCACACCATTC